CATCCACTCATCCATCATCATCCATCCATCATCCACCCACCATCATCATCCTTCCATCCATTAATCCATCATCCATCCATCCACCATCATCCATCCATCATCATCCATCCATCATCATCCACCCATCCATCATCCAGCCATCATCCACCCATCCATCATCATCCATCCATCATCATCCATCCATTAATCCATTAACCATCCATCCATTAATCAATCATCCATCCATCATCATCCTTCCATCCATTAATCCATCATCCATCCATCCATCCATACATGCATCCATCATCCAACATCCATCCATCCATTTATCCATCATCTATCCATCCATCCATCCACCATGCATCAATCATCCACCCGTTGCTCATTATCGCTAACCCCTCTAGAGGCAACAGAGTTGGTTTGAACAGATTTTAATAAACATATTAAAAAACTGCACTTTGTGTTTGTTCAGGTTATTTTTTATGTATTTTTGTCTGATATTGACGTTTGTTTGATGGGGAGTGGTGGCACCGAGGTTAGAGAAGATGGGCCAGTGACAGGAAGGTTGCTGGTTCAACTCCCCAGACCAACAGCATCAAAAATGTATGTAGGAAAGGTGAAGAACCCACACCTGTCTCCACCCTCATTTGCACCACCCTGGGTCCTTGACCAAGGCCACTAACCCCCACCATCTGCTCCCCTGGGGCCCCAGATGGAAACCCTCTGCTCCACACAGACGGCTGTGGTAGCTCAGTGATCTGTTGTTGCTTCAGGAGGAGGTCCAGTAAAAAAAAAAAAAAACTATTTAGGTTAAAACTGCTTCATGAGAATGTTGTAAACTTTTTATTTTCCGTTGTGTTTGCCCCTGAGCTGCTCCAGCTCACTGTAGGAGTTGTTTTAAATCAAAATAAAGTGAAGGAAAATGTTTTTAACAAGGTCTATGTGTGAGTTTGACTGTTAGCAAAATATCTCCATGAACCACTGGACTGGTTGTAATGAAAGTAACAGATGAATATTCATTTACAGCTGATAACCGTTTAACATTAATCCTGTAATTCAGTGGTTCCCAACTCTGGTCCTTGAGGAACACCCTCCTGCATGTTTTAGTAGTCTCTCTGCTTTGACACACCTGATTTGAATAAATGGGTGATCGACAGGATTCTGCAGAACTTCAGGAAGTACCCCGGTAATCAAATCATTAAATAAATCAAATAACAACAGTTATAATAAATAACAACAGTTGTAATAAATATAATACAATTTTCAGCTTGTAGGAGCAAAACTAATAAAATCCAGGCTCCAAAGAGACGTTGGTGTCTTCACCAGTTTGGACTAAGTGTCATGCAGACGCTGCATGTGTGACGAGGGTTGCCAGATAAATGTAAAACATCTTATTTACCCCCTCCTTTTCTGTGCACATGTCCAACAAACACAACACACCTGATCTTTTCTTTACTCAGCACATGTGACAGTTTAGCTCAAAATACTATCAGTTTAAAGACACTATAGTTCATCATTTCTTATCTGGCAACCCAAGTGACATGGAAACTACTGTGTTTTTGTGTAAACCTGCTCATTTTTTGTTTATTACCCCAATAAACATATAAAAATCTCTAAAGTTTCCAGAGGTTGTTCTGGGTGAACAGTAGATCACATTGACCTGGTCACTTTAAAAGGAGCTCCATGATGAAAACATCTGGGCACCCCTGGTTTAGATGATTTTAGATGTAAATAAAATAATAAAATCAGCCCTTTACGTGTTTTCTTTAAGTCCATTAAAATCCTCGTCTGGTAATAAAACCCGAGTCCGGACTTGTCTTCGTCTTCGCAACGCGGATCGTGAAACAACAACAAAAAAAAAAGAAAGTTAGACTTTGAAGCGGCGCGGCTGAGGTTCAGCACGGCTGCAGCTCTGTGTCTTCTTAACTCCAATTATACATGTACATGTGGGCTACATTTTATGCTAAATTAGTTTCAAACCGCTTGATCCTGGCTGCCTGCCGAGGCGCTTCGCCACCAAACTTCAGGCGGTGCATTTAGGGACATGCACACTTCAAAGGTATGAAACTCCTACCTGCAGAATGATTTAACGGGCGGCTTGAAAGCGATGCAGCCTTCATTAAAAAGCAAAGCCAAAAGTTCTTTAGACACTGCAGCACTTCAAACTAAGGGGAGGGCTTTCCATTAACTCAATGGAAAAGGGCTGCAGGACTGAACGGTGCAAGTCTGCGTGTGTTTTTGTTCCTCTCTGTCTTTGCGGCAGAAAACGGCCACGGATCCATTAGCCCGATTCGTCACGGCGGGAGGACCCCCAAAGATCTCTTATCGGCTGAACGTACCTCTCGAGCGGCGAGCCTGTCGCTCATCTCCTCCGCCTTTGCAACGTCCCCTTCAGCGACGGCCTTCTCCATGCTCCTTTCTAAGCCGGACTGGAAGAGAAAAAACATTTTTCTTTTTTTGTGGGGAATAAAATCAAAGAGTAACTTAAAAAGTCCTGGAGGGCCATATTTTTAATGTGATACCCATTTACAGCAAATATGTAGATTTTTCCTCACAAATGAAAACGCCTCTGATTGGACATTAGTGAGGAAATCTGAGAAATGCTGCAGCAGATTACCGAACGTAAAATGTGACTCTTTAATTACAGATTTTCATTACAGGCCTGAAAAAAGGCAAAGTGTGTGTGTGTGTGTGGGGGGGGGGGGGGGGGGGGGGGGGGGGGGGGTGCTGACAAGCCTCCGGTTATTGATGGAAATGTCGGTTCTGCTGCGATGAGCTCGTAGTTTCACTTAACCCCCCCCCACATCCTTCACCAGGGTAAGAAAACAGCAGAAAGGCTTATTAAAACCAAACCAGTTTCAAATTAAAGGCATGAATTATGAGGAAAAAACTAAAACCTCCCCCGTATTACCCGGAATCACACGTGACTCTTTATTTCTCATTTAAACAAGAACGCATCATGAGTGCTGAAAACGTGAGGTCGTTGAATGAAGGTAAATAAATGTCATGAGCACAGAAAACAAAGAAACTGCAACGTGTTCAGAAGAAATAAAATAAAACGAGCGGCGAAAGGCTGTAAAAATAAAAAGGTAAAGACCAGAAACGTTTTGTAAGTGGTGATGTCAGCAGGTCGTCAGGGGAACGGGTACAAAACGAGACTTTAGGAGAGGCTGAACCTGTCGGAGGTAAAGACGGGCAGAGGTTCAGCAGTCTGTGGAAAACTAGAGGAAGAATTTCAGAATAAAGTTCCTGAAGAAGAACTTTAATCTCCATCATCTCCATTTCAGAATCTGAGAGTCTGAGTTCACAGACTGCCTCGCTGATGATATGGAGGTGCATTAGTGCCTCTGACATGAGCAGCTTACACATCTGGAAAAAACATTAATGGAGAAAAACATCTGCAGGTTTTAGAAGAACATCTGCTCCATCCAGGACTGTTGGAAAGCTGGAGTCCATCAGACCAGAAGGAGACAAAACCTGCAACATCTGGTCCCCTCATGTCCTCCTAAACCTCCAACATCTGGTCTCATCAAGTCCTCTTAAACCTGCAACATCTGGTCTCGTCAAGTCCTCTTAAACCTGCAACATCTGGTCTCATCAGGTCCTCTTAAACCTGCAACATCTGGTCTCCTCATGTCCTAAACCTCAAACATCTGGTCTCCTCATGTCCTTCTAAACCTCCAACATCTGGTCCCCTCATGTCCTCCTAAACCTGCAACATCTGGTCCCCTCATGTCCTCTTTAACCTGCAACATCTGGTCTCCTCAGGTCCTCCTAAACCGGTAACATCTGGTCTCCTCAGGTCCTCCTAAACCGGTAACATCTAGTCTCGTCAGGTCCTCCTAAACCTGCAACATCTGGTCTCGTCAGGTCCTCTTAAACCTGCAACATCTGGTCTCCTCAGGTCCTCCTAAACCACCAACATCTGGTCTCCTCAGGTCCTCCTAAACCACCAACATCTGGTCTCCTCAGGTCCTCCTAAACCTGCAACATCTGGTCTCCTCAGGTCCTCCTAAACCACCAACATCTGGTCTCTTCAGGTCCTCCTAAACCACCAACATCTGGTCTCCTCAGGTTCTCCTAAACCTCCAACATCTGGTCTCCTCAGGTTCTCCTAAACCACCAACATCTGGTCTCCTCAGGTTCTCCTAAACCACCAACATCTGGTCTCCTCAGGTTCTCCTAAACCTCCAACATTCAGTTTAATGTTGAAATAAAATCCAAACAGCTGAGGAGGAAACGTTTCACAGATTTTACTTGTTGTTTGTTTTGTTGTTTATTTTGTTGTTTGTTTTGTTGTTTATTTCGACTCAAATAGTTTAAATGTAACTTCTGTAACTTGAATTTAAAGTGGAGCAACATCAGCTGCTCTTTTCCTTCTCAACCGACTCCAGGACGTTCTTTGAGGATCGGGGTCGACCCCCTCCACCACAAACTGATTTTCTCTACGAGACAAAAACAAAAAGTCACAGTCAATGAAAGCAGTTAGCAGCTGAACTTCGGCTGATGATTCCACCAGAATTAAAATAACAAACGCGTTAAAAAAGAAGTGCGTTTGAGAAATAGTTGAGCCTCGTATTATCTTGATGTTTGACTCAGCTCGTTAATTATTTCTTTCATCTCATCACGGTTTCATTCAGAATACGGCCGTCATCAGCACAAACTTAGTTTTTCTCTGCCCTGAGATAAATTAAGCACAAAATACTCAAATTATCATTAAAGGGATTAGAAATTGAAATGAAAACAGGCTCCATTCAAGGCTTTTAATATTCTTCAAGCTTGGAAATATTTCTGCCTAATGTGCTGCCTTTGCATAAAAGGCTTCGTTTGTTCTGAAACGCATTCCAGTAAAAGAAAGTTTAATTTTCTTTTAATTATAAAATTCACACAAATAACACGGCGTGCAAATCTGTTGCGTAACAATTAATTTACACGTTGCAGCTTCAGTTACACTGTCTGACCCAACAGACGAGGTCAGGCAGGAATCCTCGTGGACGATGAAGTTGGCAGATGATCTGTGGTGAGAACAGGTGGAAGAGAACTTGGAGAGGTGGAGGTATGCACTTGAAAGAAGAGGAATGAAAGTCAGTCGTAGCAAGACAGAGTCCATGAATGAGAGGGAGGAGGTGGAACAGTGAGGCTACAAGGAGCAGAGGATGAGACCAGCTATGTTGTATGGTCTGGAGACAGAGACATGGACAAAAAGACAGGAGACAGAACTGGAAGTAGCAGAAATGAAGATGTTGAGGTTCTTCTTAGGAGAGACAAGGATGGAGAAGATCAGGAATGAGATCATCAGAGGTACAGCACAGGTTGAACAACTGGGAGATAAAGTTAGAGAGGACACACTGAGATGGTTTGGACATGTCCAGAGGAGGGACAGTGGGATGGACATGTCCAGAGGAGAGACAGTGGGATGGACATGTCCAGAGGAGCGACAGTGTGATGGACATGTCCAGAGGAGGGACAGTGGGATGGACATGTCCAGAGGAGAGACAGTGTGATGGACATGTCCAGAGGAGAGACAGTGGGTTGGACATGTCCAGAGGAGGGACAGTGTGTTGGACATGTCCAGAGGAGGGACAGTGGGTTGGACATATCCAGAGGAGGGACAGTG